TAACTACTTTCACGAATGATTCTGATATATGTATGCATATATATAAATTTAAAAAAAAAGAAAGAATAAATTAAATGAAAAGTATTTTAAAAAATATATAGTTTTTGTAATTTTCACCTATCATTAATTGCTGTGGCATTGACAAAATATTAAACACTTCACCTTTTGTATTATTACCAAAAAATATATACGTACAAAATAAAAGTATTACGAAAATGTCACACTTTTAAGTTGCTAATATTACACTTTAAAATTAATTACGCATATATGTGTTACTTAGCTGCTTATTAATAAAATAGCAAAAGGCTTAAAAATTCTCTATGTTTGTATGTATGTATGGATGCATGGCCGCAAGCAATTTTTATTTTATCTTCATTATATATAATAATTTCAGCTCATTATAGCTAATATTAGCAGCGCTTGCAACGCGTTTAGTTGCTACTAAATATTATTTAATTTGTAGTTGTGTGGCAACATTTGCACTAGATTACACAAAAACGACGACAYAGAGTTGCCAAACTTAATTTTTACTAAATTTTAATACTTCAATGTGCGATTTTTGAATTCAATTGGGTATATATTTGTGTGTACATATACATGTCTATATATACATATGTATAAGAACGCATWAGCACGTACATATTTTAGTAATATTTTGTTTACTGTTTTTTAATATTATTACATTTGCTTAATTTTCGCTAATAATAAATTAGTTTAAATTTTTACTAAGTTCTTCATTTACTCACCAATACGCATTTTGTTATTCACTATTTCATTACGTACTAGAGTTGAATATTGAAATAACATTCTACTTGGCTGTGTGTGAGTAACGCTCGCTTTAAGCCCTTATGTTTCAGAGAGTTCTCATGCACATCAGCCTATAATGTTTCATATACACGCGTTGCATTTTCCTCTCTGCTCTTTTCATTACCMCTTAACTGTCAGATTGACATTGGCTGTCAGTGTGACGGTGACAATATTTTCTGTTTATTGTAATTTTTTTATTTTCTAATTTATATTTTTTTTATTAATAATTTTTTATTACAATTAACCTAAGTTTATGAGTAAAAATTACTTTACTATTTACATTTGAGGTTCTGTCTTTTTCGCATCGATCCTTTAAACGATCCTTCAATCAGCGCTTTTGCATTAATTTCACTTCTGTTTTTTACATAAAGTTTCTTACGAAGAACAAGGAAAATTTTTGAAAAAAAAAATTTAATAAATTAAAAAACTCCTTCATATTCAATTAAATATTTTTGCAAAACTATCCAATCAACTAACATCAAAAGTATTATAAGATCTGCTCATTGCCAACCATAAGCTAATACTTTATAAATGGAAATCAGTTCATCACAAATCTAAGCTTATCATAAATTTCGGTTAAATAAAAAAGTATGTTTACATTTATAATATTTTTAGCTTAACTTTAATCACATACCCTATATACCACCGTTCATATTTTAACTTTCTACAATTAAATCTCTTGCTTTCTCTGTTCTTGCAACACTGCCCAACTTTTTCTTTCCTTCCATCTCTCTTTTACTCTCTATTTCTACTTTAGTTTTACAGTTATAAAAGTAATCTGATTGCATAATATCAACTTTAGCCCCAATAATTAGGCATTTTGTAAAATTCCAACTCATATTCCTCACTTCTCCGGTCTTTTATGCAGTGTTTAGACCCAAAAGCTTTTGTTGAGTTTCACCAGTATGAGTGTCACAGCTGAGAGCGTGGTGAGGCTCAAGCGCAGTTTGTGTGTGGCACCGCTGCCATAGAAGGTGACACTCAGGTCCCGCATCTCGTTGTCTGYAATGAAGCAAAACTACATAGATTAGTGGTGGATCAAGTTTAAAATGAGTACTCAGAAATATAAGTATATAAAGGACATGCACACTAACAAAAATTTGACCTCTATGTTTTTGAAGATAGATATCAATTATTTTTCAAATAAATAAATAATTTTAATTTATTTTTAAAGTGATGATCTCTAGGCACGCTAATAAAGATTTCAATCGAGAGAAATTGTACTGCATTTCACCCTCAACAGCCCGTACTTTGCCAATTTGATTACAGTTTTTTTGTTTTGTTCATTTGAAGGTTAAAAAACAAAAACTTAAATTAAAAGATTACCACCTGTTCCAAAATAGTAAGCTACATAAATCTTTGAGATAAAGAAACAACACAAYATTGGTAAGTTTATAAAAACTTTAACTTATTAAATTTTTAGTAGTGTTGCCCCCTAGTTAGAAATTTTATTCAACAGAAATTAGTAAGTTGAAATATTTATTGTTAAACGGACATAAATAGATATGTATGAGTGTTAAAACATTTTCCGTTAAATAAACTTTGTTAGAGTTGCCACCTATTTGAAAATTCAATAGAATTAATAAACAAAAAACGGTTTCTAGCGTAGAAATTTGGAACGTTGTTGAGCGCCAAAAAATGTGTGTTAAATTTTTTAGGGTTGCCACCTCTTTGAAAATTTTAATTGAATATAATTAATAAAAGTAACGGTTTGCTAGCGTAGAGATTTGCAAAGGTTAAAGTAGATACAATTTTTTAGAAAGGTTGCCACACGGTAATAATATTGTTATTAAATRCAATTTTATATAGAAAATCTTTAGGCGAAGAAATTATTGATAAATAATCGCTACGGTATACACATCAAACTAAAGAGGATAAATAAAATTTATYTTGCTAATTTTTTCCATGGAGTTGCCACCAGGTTTGAAATCAATCATCAATGTAGTGAACAAAATGAAATATTTATTGCACAGACTGCTTACCACTGCTTTAAATCTTTTATATCTAACTTGAGAAATTTACGATAAAATAAAATATTTATTGTAATACTGGTGCCAGTACCGACTTACAGACAATTTTTTGTTACATTTCCTTTTTGGTAGCGTTGCTACCTATTTGGACTCTTTAACTCAATAAAATTATAAAAAAAAATATAAAAAAAAAACTGTTTACTACCGTAGAGATTGATAAAAGTTTACAGTTAAAAATATTTTTGAGCATAGTTGCCACATGTTTAAAATGTTCCATTGCATATTTCCGGGAAGTTCGTTTCTTTAAAAAACAAAGAATGAAAAAATCTTCCCAAATACCTTTTATTATTCTATAAATATAGATTAGTTGAGTATTTTTTCGATTTAAGAAAGAAGCGCATTACTAAAAAGTACTACTTTAACTGCTTAACTTTATTAACTGGAGATAATGTGTATTAAGAAGCAAGAGCACATGCAGAAATTAATAAAAATTRACAAAGTGCATGCAAATGAGGAAAMAKTTAAAGCTTTTTGATGAGTTAATAATTATAAATATTTATTTTTGAACTTGAAGTGAAAGTTGCACTTTAGAGTTATGTAATTTACTGAAAAATTCCATACCATTTTGACACAAAAATAAAGCTTTCTAAAATTTTGAAGTATTCTATGCGACCCAGATTTAT